ACATACGACTGATGGTGCCAGACACCATGATATCCAGTTATACTTATGGCTAATTATGGCTGATGGTGCCAGATACCATGATATCCATTTATACATATGACTGATAGTGCCCAGACATCATGATACCCAGTTATACATATGGCTAATATATGATGGTGCCAGACATCATGATATCCAGCTATACATATGGCTAATGGATGATGGTGCCAGACACCATGATATCCAGTTATACATATGGCTAATGAATGATGGTGCCAGACACCATGATATCCAGTTATACATATGACTGATGGTGCCAGACACCATGATATTCAGTTATACATATGGCTAATGAATGATGGTGCCAGACACCATGATATCCAGTTATACATATGACTGATGGTGCCAGACACCATGATATCCAGTTATACTTATGGCTAATTATGGCTGATGGTGCCAGATACCATGATATCCATTTATACATATGACTGATAGTGCCCAGACATCATGATACCCAGTTATACATATGGCTAATATATGATGGTGCCAGACATCATGATATCCAGCTATACATATGGCTAATGAATGATGGTGCCAGACACCATGATATCCAGTTATACATATGGCTAATGAATGATGGTGTCAGACATCATGATATCCAGCTATACATATGGCTAATGAATGATGGTGCCAGACACCATGATATCCAGTTATACATATGGCTAATGAATCATGGTGCCAGATACCATGATATCCAGTTATACATATGACTGATGGTGCCAGACACCATGATATCCAGTTATACATATGGCTAATGAATGATGGTGCCAGACATCATGATATCCAGCTATACATATGGCTAATGAATGATGGTGCCAGACACCATGATATCCAGTTATACATATGGCTAATGAATCATGGTGCCAGACACCATGATATCCAGTTATACATATGACTGATGGTGCCAGACATCATGATACCCAGTTATACATATGGCTAATATATGATGGTGCCAGACATCATGATATCCAGCTATACATATGGCTAATGAATGATGGTGCCAGACACCATGATATCCAGTTATACATATGGCTAATGAATGATGGTGTCAGACATCATGATATCCAGCTATACATATGGCTAATGAATGATGGTGCCAGACACCATGATATCCAGTTATACATATGGCTAATGAATCATGGTGCCAGACACCATGATATCCAGTTATACATATGACTGATGGTGCCAGGCACCATGATATCCAGTTATACATATGACTGATGGTGCCAGACACCATGATATCCAGTTATACATATGGCTAATGAATGATGGTGCCAGACATCATGATATCCAGTTATACATACAGATATTTAGAGTATTTTATCGGCACTTTGTGGATTTGAAATAATATTTTGTCCTTCCTTTTCTCTTGGATATGGACCAATAGTTTTCAATTATTGCCCACATCTGTTGTTGTTGTAATGTTTTGTTTGATCATCCTGTCAAATTACATTGATATCCCACATTGAATTTTGAAACCCCCAAAATGTGACAAAATACTAAAACTATATCTACTGCAAATAATATAATTGTTAACACAATCAACAATCATGTTGATCAAATTTTTCTATGTGATATCTTGTTTACTTTAACACAAGGTTGCGTTGAAATCTGATTGAAATAGTTGGCGAAGGTAAATTTTTCAGTTACTAACTAAACTTTAACTTCATTCACAGAATAGCAAATAAAATAAAAAATGATTGTAACTGACAAATTAATCTATTGGTAGTAATATGATATCGACTTACAACACGTGTGAGTTTAAACGCTGATATATAAAATATTATGGTTGGGGATGAGGTCACAACTGAAAAAGTTAAATTTTAATTTATGGTTTGGTAAATATTTACATAGATGTTGTACTTGAATGCTTGGTATTTGAAGGCTATTTTTTTTTTTTTTTAATATTGTTTTAAATACTTTAAAGGTACATGTATATTCCTTGTGAGATTTGTCATATTGTATTTCACATTTGGATTTATGTGTGAAGTACCAGGCACTGGTGTTACCTGTTTGACATATATTGTATGAAGTTAGTTATTAGTGTTTCTTATCTGTCTCTGTACAGGCCATCAACTCATTAATTATAATGTACTGAAGATATCTGCTGTTTGTTTACTTCACTTTAATCCATGTAGGTTAGTTAAAGAGCTGGTGTGAGAAAAATATGTTGAAGAATTTTTCTAAACCTGGTCAGTGATTCAGTGTTTATTGAGTTCGGCTCGTACCCAGGGAGGTTCCCAGAGCCAACTGTTCACTTAGTAGTATAAATCCGAGTACATTCTGCCTTGCTTTCCAAGCATGTGGTGTTAGGTTTGGGAGACTGGTTTATAAACATGCAATTACCGTAGTACGTAAAAGAAAAAAGTTGTTTAATATAACACCCTTCGTAAAATCTGTTTTGGGGCATGTTACTAAAAATAATAAAAAATGAATCGGAAGAATTATTTTAAACAAGCAGCCTATCGGCTGAGATAGCTCCGCTGTTAGCAATGCACATTTCAATTAAAGAACTGAAGACATCATTAGAAAATGAACAATATGAATAGTATCAAAGCAATCGGACTTACAGTTTTTAACAAGAAGTCGAAAATATCACTTTTTACCAAAAATTACAAAAATATTCACCAAAATAAATTAATTAGAGAACTGAAGACATCATCAC